AGAGAGAGAGAGAGAGAGAGAGAGAGAGAGAGAGAGAGAGAGAGAGAGAGAGAGAGAGAGAGAGAGAGAGAGAGAGAGAGAGAGAGAGGATAAGGTGTGGATCTGTAATGGCAGCTGTGGAAAGCGCTTGCAGTTGTATAAAAGCCAGTGCGCCTTGCTTCGAGTTTGTACTGCTGGAACTATGTAGGGTATTGGTGAGTTGTTATTTTTCCTTCTAGTCTATATTAATGTGACAGTGTTGAGAAGTGTAATGGAAATGATTCCTAGGCTGAGGCGGCACCATTGTCTGGAAATTCTGGAAAAGTTTGCAGCTCAGGGTGTTGCCATGCATTGTGACAGCCAACAAAAGATTAGGGGCCAAGGCTGTCTGCATGGACCTGACATTAGTAAGCAGATGAGTGGTGGTTGTAGGTTCGCTGAGATTGTCATTCCCATGCCAGTTTTCAGATGGAATTTCGTTATTGGTTGGGCTGATGTTGTTTGTTTGGCTGAAGTGCCTGAATGGCAAGTTAGGCAAAGACCTGGTTGATCTCTGCGCATTGCTGAGAGGTGCATGTTGCAGAAGGTTGAGCCATCCAGAGCAGCATCAGTTTTGCAGTGCTTGGCAGTGTTATGATCCTGACAATTAGAGCGACACTTCCAAGTCTGTTTTGCACTTGTAGGCATTCCAAAAGTCTTTTGAGGTGTTGGCCCTTGCGGCCTGCTGTATGGATGACAATTGAACATAGTATCAAGGCCTTTGTCGCCTCACCTGCATACAAAGCCCGCTGTGTGTATGACAGTGGACACAGTATTGAGCCCTTTGCTGCCTGTTTGCGTCTGTGAATAGGCTGCAAAGTTCACTTTCTGGTGGAAACCTTGCCTTTTGCCTGAAAATATCTGGCATCCTTAAGTGCGATAGTGCCCTTAGCAGCAGTATATTTCATCTGGAAGGAGGGAGACCTTGTGGGCATTTGTTCTGAAGAGGGATGACAACGGATGTGGATGGTTAGATGGCTGTATGGTAATGTAAAGGAGGCCGGTGAACCATTGAGAAGCCCAGTTAGATGAACAACTTGCCTGTTTTTGGTTTTGTTTCCCCTGAAGGTAGCAAACCATGATGTCATTCAACTGGAATATCACTTTTCTCAGACTTCAGGGTTGCTTGGTCTGTGACGTCCGAGAGATGCTGTGTCAGGCTACTGAATTTCCCACCTATTGTGGTAATGGATGCGGCTTTGGTTGCCCATGGCAACCTTGCAGCTCTTGTGTTTTAAACCACCCCTTCTGGCCAGAACCTCTGTGTGGTAGTGAAAGCAAAGTTTTGTGCAAGTGCATTCAGATTTCTGCTGTGTGCCAGTAAAAAACGAACGCCATGTTTTGTTTTGTTTTTCGCCTGGAGCCGCTAGTCATTTTGGTCCTGTAGGCCGAGCCCCTAAGGACAGGGCACTCTAATCGCCAATTGGGGAAAAGGAATATGGGAAAGGTAGTGGTGGCTTAAGCTCACATGTGCATCTCCGTGTGTGTGTGTGTGTGTGTGTGTGTGTGTGATATACACACACACAGACACACACA